TTGTTCCTTAGGTTTTGCTCCCCACATTGAGCTCCCAAAGTTTTGTTTTCCCCAAGTTTTGCTCCCAAGGTTTTGTTCCTCGGGTTTCATTCCTGAGGTTTTGTCCCCCAAGTTTTGTTCCCAAGGTTTTGTTCCCCAAGTTTTGCTCCCAGGAAAAATCTTCAGAAAGGGTCCCCAAATCACTAGAAAAAGACCCCAAATCACTAGAAAAGCACCCCAAAACATTACAAATAGTCCCCAAATCACTAGAAAAGGTCCCACCAAACAAAACCCCAAGTGATGTCACATTTACTGACATGTCACAGCTACAACTCCCCAGATTTTGCTCCCAACTTAGGGCACAACCAAGCCCTTCTCCACCAGGAAATTCCCCTTTTTCCCTGCACAATTCAGGCCCAGCTTTCCTTGCTCCCATCCGGAGCTGCTCAGACCCCTCAGCACCCCAAACCTGCAGCATTCCCAGCTTTACCTGCGTGCACTTTCTTCAGCGTCTCGTAGGTGAAGAAGCTGAGGCCAGCGTAGGGGATGACGCCCAGGATGGTGGGAGTGAAGCCCCTGTACAAGGTTTTCAGCCCCTCCTCGCGGGATATGCGGATGAAGACGTGCACAATGCTGCTGTACCTGCCGTGGGGACACGGGGAGAGCAGACCTGCGCTGGTCAGAGCCTGGGGTGCTCCCAGCAGGGCTCCCTGATGGATTAATTGGTAATTAATTCGGCTCCGAGCTCATCGGGCAGCTCGGAGGGGGTTTCAGCTCTCTTGGGTCTCCCTGGGTCCAGCTGCCCTCCTGAACTGCTCTCCCAGTACCCATCTCCTACCACATCCACACCTCTGGACATTGAATCGCTGCTCAGACCCCGGGGCTTTATCCCACCAAAGGCTCCCAGCAAGAACTGACCCAAAAAAGGGCAATAAAACCACGTCACCTCTTAGAAAACCCATAAAGTTGTGTATGAGGCACTTACATCTCCTTGGGAGTGACAGCCATGCGGGCACGGACCATGTCCAGGGGGTAGGTGAGCATGGCAGCCGTGGTGCCAGCCAGGGAGCCGGCAATGAAGCGAGGGAATGGCGTCAGTGCCCTGGAGTGGGGGGAGAGAGGAGACCAAACGTCACCTGCAGCTGCAGATCCCACTGGAGCTTCCCCCTCACAGTTTCCTTCCCCCAGAGCTTCTCCCGCCAAGGTTCCACCTCACAGCTTCCCCTCAGAGCATCCTCTCGGAACTTCCCCCTCAGAGCTTCCCCTCACAGGTTCCCTTCAGAGCTTCCTCCTCAGAGCTTCCCCTCACAGTTTCCTTCCCCCAGAGCTTCTCCCGCCAAGGTTCCACCTCAGAGCATCCTCTCAGAACTTCCCCCTCAGAGCTTCCCCTCAGAGCTTCCTCCTCAGAGCTTCCTCCTCAGAGCTTCCCCTCACAGTTTCCTTCCCCCCGGAGCTTCTCCCTCCAAGGTTCTTCCTCACAGCTTCCCCTCAGAGCATCGTCTTGGAATTTCCCCCTCAGAGCTTCCCCTCACAGGTTCCCTTCAGAGCTTCCTCCTCAGAGTTTCCTCTCAGAGCTTCCCCTCATATCTTCCCCTCAGAACTTCCCCTTCAGAGCTTCCATCTTGGAGCTTCCCCCTCACAGTTTCCTTCCCCCCAGAGCTTCTCTCTACAAGGTTCCACCTCAAAGCTTCCATCCTGGAATTTCCCCTCACAGCTTCCCCCTTGGAGCTTCCATCACGGAACTTCCCCTCACAGCTTCTCCCTCAAAGCTTCCCCCTCGGAATTTCTCCTCGGAGCTTCTCCCTCACAGCTTTTTCCCTCAGAGCTTCCATCTCAAAGCTTCCTCCCCAGAGCTTTCCCCTCACAGCTTCCATCTTGGAACTTCCCCTCACAGCTTCCACCTTGGAACTTCCCCTCACAGCTTCCCCCTCAGAGCTTCCATCTTGGAGCTTCCCCTCACAGCTTCTCCTCAGAGCTTTCCCCTCAGAGCTTCCATCTTGGAGCTCCCCCCTCAGGACCCCAAACCCCGCTGCCTCTTACTTTCCCTGGAATCCGTAGTAGTTGCCCAGGATCTGCTTGTACTCCTCGTGGGCGCAGAACTGGATGGCGGCGTAGGGGATCACCCGCACCATGGTGGCCGAGTTCCCTCTCCAGAGGCTCCAGAAGCCCTCGTTGAGGTAGGTGTGATAAATCAGCCTGTACGCTTCCTGAGGGGAAAAACCACCCGTGGGGAGCAGGCCGGGGGATAAGAGTGGATAAATCATCTGTGGGGAGCAGGCCAGGGGGATAAGAGTGGATAAATCATCTGTGGGGAGCAGGCCGAGGGGATAAGATGGATAAATCACCCGTGGGGAGAGGAAAAATCACCCGTGGGGAGCAGGCCGAGGGGATAAATCACCTGTGGGGAACAGGAATGCAGGGCAGGGAGCCAAGCCCACAGATTAACCCCTCCAATCCCCTGCCCACAGAGCTGCCATGGCCTCCCCGGCACACCCACGTGCTTTAAAACGCAGTTTGTGTGGAATAAATGGATAAATAAATAGAAATTAATTAAAGGGAAGTATCGAAACTGCACTGTGCACTTGTTTTTCAGAGCATTTCCATGCCCAGATCCCAGAATCCAGCAAGGGCAGAGTGAAGCTCCAGGCAAGAGCAAGGAAGGGTTTTTAGATCCCAGCCTGCCTCAGTTTCCCTCTCAGGGAAGGCACAATTGGCACAAAACCCTTTCCCAACCCAAATTCATCTCCCTGGGGCCAGGCAGGAACATTTGGATCACACACACCACACATGGAAAAGCTGGAATGCAAAGGGAAAAGGCACTCAGGAAGCCAGGAGAGGGATCAGATCCCGGATTTAATTCCCTATAAATGCTGGAACAACTCCTGTGTGGTTGGGGAAAGGGAATGAGCACTAAAAATGGTCCCAAAATCACCAGGAAAGGTCCCCAAATCACAAAGAATGGTCCCAAAAACACCATTCCCAGTCTTTCTCTCTATGCTTTCATGGAATGCTGCTGATAAATCCCCAAAAAAGTGAAATATCAACAAAAGATTAATTACACACTTCAGAGCAACAGCAGACAGACATCACCTCACCTTGGCAGAAAATCTTTTTGAAGACACTAAAAATAAAAACAACAACAACAAAAAAAAGAAGATTAGGGCTTGCAAGGCATAAAAATAAATATTGATCCATGAATCCCTAAATAACGGATAAATAATCAGGTGTTTTGTCTAAAGGGATAAAAACAGAAGGAAAAGAATGAATGCAAGAAGAAATACAGATTCTTTGTCTTCCAAATGCTCCCATAATTTAGCACAAAAGTAAATTTTTTTCCCCTTGCTGCCTGTTAGGAAAATTCAGTTTGTGCAGAATAAATGAATACATGAAAACAATTAATGAGAGAAAACCCATCAAAACTGCACTGCTCAGTTATTTTTCAGAGCATTTCCAGCCTCATTCCAGAACGCAGCGAGGACAGAGCGAAGCTCCACGCAAGAGCAGCTCCAGCCCAGCCAAACTCAAATCAACTCCCTGATTTTTCTATTTTTTTCCCCCTTCCCCTGCATCCATCCAAAGTGACAGCACCTCCTTATCCGTGGCAGGGTTTGGGAGCAGGATTTGTTTGGCAGGAAGGGAAAAGCCCTGGCTGGAAAGCTTTAATGAACGTGGCTCCAATTAAGGGGCTGCTGCAGCTCCTGCCTGGCTCATCTGAGGCTCTGGGAGCCTCTCGAGTGCATCCAACAATTCCATGCAAATCCATTTTTCCCCACTGCTGCTCCCCTGTGCAATTCAATGCTTTTATTTGTTTCATTTGGAATTTTTCTTTTTTTTCTTTTTTTTTTTTTTTTTTTTAAGGAATAAAAACTACCTTGATGAACAGTGATGGTTATCAAGGGGGTTTTGTTCCTTTAAAAAATTAATAGAAATAATAAAATGATTGAGTTGTGGGAAATTTACTGAGTTTGGGATGGCAAAGCTCATCCACCCCTCTGCCATGGACACTTTCCCTATCCCAAGCCCCATCCCTGACTCAAGGCATCACTCTGATGATCCAAAGATATTTTCCCTTCTCGTAAACAGAGAATAAAACCCCTTAGGGCAGCAAGAACCTAACAAAACCCTATCACATCCCAAAAAACTGCTCCCATTGGAAGATTTTAATGCCATCCTTTCCAGCCCCTGGGATGGGCTGAAGCACACAGGGAATTTTGGGAATGCCCAAATTCCAGGAGATGCCCTGGCCTGGCCCAGCCCAGCCCCGTGCCCCTGATGTTTCCACCCCAAAATGAACCCACGTGTGTGGTTTGGGTGGGAAAACCCCAAAATTCAGGTGCCAGGGGCAGCCCCAGCCCCCCTGATCCACATCCAGCAATTGCAGAGCCCCTTGCTCTGCCCAGAACGAGAATCACGGGAGCAGAAATCAATTCTAAATTAAATGTCAGCCGGGGATTAGGCTGAGCCCAACTCAGTTAATCTGGGACGTCACCAGGCTTAAAATTCTTGGCTTTCCCAAATGTCCACTGAATTAAAGGCCTGTGCTGTTCCCTTTGGGGTAATTGGAGGAGCTGCACTGCAACAATCCCCAAATCCTGCTAAACACAGGGAAACTCTCAGTTCCTCTCACAGGAATGGGATTTTCTGTGGCAATTCCGGGGTGCCAGAGCACACAGATCCGGGCATGGGCAGCTCCAGCGCCTGCTGCCGCTCATTTTGGGGAGAGCTGACACAATTTGGGCACCCAGCCCTCAGCAGGGAACCCTCACAGCCCGATCCCCCCTTCCCAGAGCCTCACATCTCCAGGGAAGGAGCTGGATGAGCACAGAGGGCTCAAAATTAACAACAATTTGGGAAAAAAGCCCGGAGGAGTCACCTTGGAACATGATTTTTGTCCTGTCCAGAGGAGCCACTGCAGTTTTAGCCACAGCCCCAGCCAGAGCCCCGGACATCAGCGAGTTCAGCACTTTCTTCTTCTCCTGGTTATCCTGGCAAAAAAAAAAAAACATTGGATAGAGGGGAGAAAATAAATAAATCAATGCCACAAGGAATAATATTTCACCTTTTGTGCAGCATTCCCCCCAGGGCCAGGATTTGGGTCAAAATGTCTCACTGAGTTTCCAGCACAGCGCATTCACTGCTGGTTGGACTGGGAGGCAGAATTCCGAGCATTCCTCCTGCATGTGTTGTTTGCTCCCTGTTATTTCTCTTTCTTCTCCCTCCCCATGGTTTTTGGGCACGGGCAGAGGGGAGGTTTTGGAAGAGAAGCCCCCCAGCCCTGCTCCCACACCATTGCCGAGCTCCCGAGGGTCAGTCCAGGCCGTTTTCCCCTTCCGTGGTGGAACGAGAGGGATTTTGCTGCTGGCATTCCTGCCACAGCTCACAGTTATAAAATCAGCATTTTTGTCCCACAGAGAACAACAACAACAACAGGAAAAAAAGCCACAAAATCCAACCCAGTGGAGGCTGTGGAGCGAGAACAAGGCCGGGCTTGATGTGTGAACTTTTGCCACTCCGTGGAGGAGAGGAGTTAACATTTTCCTTGTGTTTCCCAACCCCAAAGTTAATGTTTATGACCCAAAACCCCTGGGTCAGCTCAATTCCCCCTCCCCAGCCGTGCAAAGGTGAACTTCAGCCCCAGGTCTGGGTTCAACCCAGCAAGGCTGGGAGGAATCTGCCTTCTCCTGAGCTTCCAGGGGCAGGGAAAGCACAGAGTGGGGCGGCCTGGACTGGGAATGCTCCTG